AACATATTTCAAAACATTGATTGCTGCGAAAAGCAATATAAAAAAAGTAATAGCTTATTTCAAATTTTGAAAGATACAAAACTTAGTAAGTGACTAATAAGTATCAATTTTAATTATTATTTAATGTAAATGTCACAAAAAGTCAAGTTAAAAATCGATATAAAATGTATTTAAAGATTATTTATATTAACTGTTTTTTCCACATTTTAATAAATGCTGATGTATATAAATATATGGCATGTGTGGAAAAAGATGTAGATTTTCCTTACTTTTTCAATTAAACCAACTGACAAGATATGAAGACATTATTTATGAGAGAAAAAAAAAAACAGTTAAACAATAAATTGTGGTATGGTACAATTATGAAAGTTGCTCCCCCTTAATTATCAAGTTTTATATTTATTAACAGGTTACACCTGTTACATCTATTAAAAACTTTATTCGTATAATATGATAAATGTAGTTGAATAATTTCGAACATATGCAAAATATATAGACCGAATTCTTTCGCAGGAGGAGGGTGTATTGAAATACGTTAAGTCATATAGAATTATACACAAATTGCAATGTTCATCGTATGTAGTATATTTACAAAGGGAAATAAGTCTGCATGTACTACGTCGTTCCCTGCTAATGTATATATTGATAAGCAAGGTTTACTAATGATAGATATCTTTATAAGACACAATTAAAGTGTTTCATATATTTAGATCTTTAAAAGTATTTTAAATTATATAGACACTAAATTATACATGTAATTACGTTCTACACTAGGCAGTTTTAATTTCAATGCCTGTATAACTTCAAACAATGTTTAAATATAAAGTATAATAGTATAGTAACTTGGACATTGTAATTATGATCACGGATTCATATATTTTGGCAACAGACATCATGGACATGAAGGCAAGATTACATATTGCCATTAACAATGTTCGTCAGCAATACGTTAATTTAAAGACATTTTAAGCAAACAAAAATATCTTATAAAAGATTTAATAATACAACGTCCTTTGCAAATGATGTTGAAAAGTCGAAAGTACGATGATGAAACTGCGAAAGTACGATGGTGAAAAGTCGGAAGTACTATGGTGAAATGTCGAAATAACTTATTGTTATCGTGATTTATATATTAAAGATTTTTAAGAAAATCAAATGGTAATCTGAAATATTTACATGTGTGAAAAGTCTGGAGTTCTATTGTGAAAAGTCGAACTAAAGAAATTTCGATGGTAAAAAGTCGAAATAACGAAAGCACGATGGCGAAAGGTCACAAGTACGATGGTAAAAACACAAAATTATAACGTTTTTTTCTCGATTTTTTATCATCTTACCTTCGACTGTTCAACATTGAGGTTTCGTTGTTTTACTTTTCAACATCGTACTTGCATGTTCTCTATGGTGGCTGATTTGGTACACTTTGCGCGTTGCGTTGTCGTAGTCGACAACACAACCTATAGCGTTATCGCCTTTTCACTTTGTCATGTCGCTAGCTAAGCACGCCAAACGGTGCATTGTCATGCGGCGAGTTGTTGCGATGTCGGCCTGTCGCTTAGCTAATATATATATCAAAATAGACAATCCTCCGATTTAATCCGAGCGACAATGTGACATCGCGACAACACGCCGCACTACAAAGCGCCCGTTTGACGGTTTGTTGTGCTGTCTGTCGACAGCGACAACACGACGCAAACAAGTGTTCCGAATCAGCTACTATAGTTTCCGTTGTTTTAAATGTGTGTCGCGATGGCCTGAACAGGACACCGTTTTTAAACTTAAATCAAATGGCACATTAATCTAAGAAAATCACTCCTTACATGTCAAAACGATCTCAAGGTTACTATTGATCAATCTGTGTGCTATTTAGAATGAGGTGACTTTGATTGTTGGAAAATATCAAATTACAATCTGAACAAAAGCGTTAGATTTGCAAAAATATCATAAGGGATTTAAGTTATTGTATTTCCACATTTTGTGTTTGTCAAATCTTATCATCTTTGTATGCTTTATTGGTTTCCTGCTATATGAACTGATCTTATTGATATAACTTTACTGCTGTTTTAGTTATAAGGACCACGGTTTTGTAACGAAGTGTAACGATAAAGATCGGTAGTGTCGTGAGTGCTTACACAAACTACATTAAAGATCGTAGGTAGAGTAATGTTATCAAATATATCAAATGTCTATGGTATTTCTAAGGAGCATTTTTTGACAAATACTTTATTTATTATTATATTCTAAATCACTAGTATTTCTTTATAAGATGTTCTTGGAAAGCGGAAGAAGTTGATGTAAGTTAACTATTACTATTCCTTCACATTATATAGCATTACCTATTCCTTGTATACTTATTGTTTTTAGCTTTTAAATATTTTAAGTGCAATTAAATAAATGATACAATTATAACGGCAAAAAAAAATACCACAGGTTCCATTAACTGAATTTATCATACAGGCATAATAATGTTTATCAGATAAAATCTAATAACAAATCATCATTTTGTCATGAAAAAATCAAATACAATTTACTTAATCAAATACAAGTGCGTGTTCGAGTTTCATAGTTTTCCGTCGTTCATGTGTCGTTTACAAACGTATATTCTAAACGTATATAATTGATATTATTCCTCTGAAGACTCCATTGTAAATGTAAAGTTACTTCTCTGCAGTGTTGTTATATTTTTCTGGTCTGTCGGGGTCATTTATTCCAACTCTTTTAAGTGTTGAAAACCTACTTTTGATACAAAAACACATAACCCTTAGGTCGCATTTTGTACATATTAATTGTTTTGGATCGTCTTTTGAAGGGAAGACTGAAAATACAAATTAAAAACGGACGAAATTTGCCGGCGTATCCACAAAACTTCAGAAACATTCTGCTCCGCTTCGAGTTGTAAGTTTGCTATAACTTTTGTTTTATAAACAAAAAGAGTTATAAAAAAAACATACCTTTTTCGTTCCAAGATGGTGGCGTTTGTTTACATTTTGTAGGATACGACGCAGTTTTGATTCCCAGCCCTGAAGATCGACAGAAATATATTTTGTCTTGACCAGAACAGTCACTGGTCAAATTTCAAATTATATACACATGACCAGTTTGTTTATTTATTTATTTATTTATTTGTTTGTTTGTGTTAGTTTGTTTGTGTTTGTTTATTTATTTGTTTGTTTATTTATTATTATTTTTATATTTTTATTTATTTATTTATTTATTTATTTATTCTTTTATTTATTTATTAATTTATTTATTCATTCATTCATTCATTCATTTATTCATTTATTTTCAATAACTTTGTCAAATCAGAAGCTAGGAAGATGAAACTTAAAACCGATTGTGCCATACACATTGTCTTAAGAAATGGACATATTAAAGAATTTCAAAATAACATGCAAACCCAATTTACTCTAGAAAATACGTGCCGTTGTTGTAAACATTGATGAACCATTTTCCAAGTTTACAACCAATTTCCTCGCTCTAACCAAGTGTGCAAACCACTTCACGCCCTGTGGTTTGTTAATAGAAAATATCAATTATAATGTTACGGAAACAGGTTTCTAGAATCTGAAAATAAATAGTAATTACAACACATATAATTACGATAGAAAGATACGGGTCTGTGCTCTAAGTTTGTGTTTATCGTCTTAAAATTAAAATGGTGTACGTTTTTAGTTTGTATACATCTTACAGGAAGTCAAGCAAAGTCAAATAGTCAATTGTAGGTATAATTTTACACCTGTTACAAGTATTAGCATTGACAAAAAGGCTAGAAATCGCCGTTCAGCCATTTGCTTCCGTAAAATAGACTTTTCCTGAAAAATAGTTCTAGAGTTAATTTTCCTTCTTTTAATGGAACCATGCCAAAGATTGTTTACCCCATATTAGTATTCTAGCTAACCTTGCTGATTACTGTAGTCGGAATTTTATCTGAGATCATCTGTTTATGCGCACGACACTACTTAATTTGCTAGGGCGTGCAAAATATTACATATGGTATTGAATTATACTTAATTATATTGTTGATATCTCTCGGTTGTAATATAAACATCATTTGCTGCAAGGTCATGCCGTGACCTTGACCTTCAAGGTAGCGACCCAAATGTCGCGCGCGACACGCTATCTTAATATGGTGATCATTTCTGTGAAATATTTTTAAAATCCGACTTCAAAAATTAATAATGAAGTTATGGACCGGACACGATTTTGCTGCAAGGTCATGCTGTGACCTTGACGTTCAAGGAAGCGAGCCAAATGTTGCACGCGACACCTCGTCTTAATATGGTGATCATTTCTGTGAAATAGTTTTAAAATCCGACTTCAAATAACAAGGTTATGGGCCGGACACGAATTCGGGACGTAATTTTTCGGTTAGCATAATAAGTAGAAGCTTATTTGAAATATTGAAAGATACAAAATTTTCAGTAAGTGACTTGTAGAAATGACTTTTATTCATAACTTGTTAATGTAAAATTTCACTGAAAGTCAAGTTTAATGTCGATATAAGAAATACACTAAAAGATTTCTGATCTTAACTGCTTTTCTAATTTTGATAAAGTGCCGACCAATAAATATAATATCATGGTTACAACGTCAATTGACTTTGTATGAATAGAAAAAATGTATATTTTCCTTTTGTTTTCATAACACAAACTGACAATATATATTTAGAAATTATGTATGAGAAAATAGATAACAGGATAACAATAAATTGTGGTATGGTACAATAATGAAAGTAGCTTCCCCTTAATCATTGACTTTTATATGTATAAAAAGATTTCATGTGTTACATCTAGTAAAATCTTTATTTGTATATGATTGTTGAATGCAAAATACAATCTGAACAACAAAAGCGGGAGAATTGCAAAAAAATTTTAAGGGATTTAAGTTATTGTATTTCCACATTCTGTGTTTGTCAAATCTTATTTTCTTTGTATGTTTTATTTTTTATCATAATTTGATTCCCTGCAAAATATCGTGAGAGTTTACACAAACTACATTAAAGATCGTAGGTAGGGTAATGCAATCAAATATATCAAATGTCTATGGTATTTCTAAAGAGCGTTTTTTTGACAAATACGTTTTCATTATATTCTAAATCACTAGTATTTCTTTATACAATGTTCGATAAAGACATGTGTTGGAAAGCGTAGGAAGTTGATGTAAGTTAGCTATTTTAATTCATTCACGTTATTTAACATTACCTATTCTTTGTATACTTATTGTTTTTATAATAGCGTTTAAATATTTTAAGTGCAATTAAATTGTACTATTTTCATAAAATGATACAATTCCAAAGAAGGGACCTCAACGGCAAAAAAATACCACAGGTTACATTAACCGAATTTATCATACAGGCATAATAATATTTATCAGATAAAAATCTAATAACAAATCATCATTTTCTTATGGCTTTGAAAAAAAATCAAATACAATTTACTTAATCAAAAACAAGTGCGTGTTCGAGTTTCATAGTTTTCCGTCGTTCATGTGTCGTTTACAAACGTATATTCTAAACGTATATAATTGATATTATTCCTCTGAAGACTCCATTGTAAATGTAAAGTTACTTCTCTGCAGTGTTGTTATATTTTTCTGGTCTGTCGGGTCATTTATTCCAACTCTTTTAAGTGTTGAAAACCTACTTTTGATACAAAAACACATAACCCTTAGGTCGCATTTTGTACATATTAATTGTTTTGGATCGTCTTTTGAAGGGAAGACTGAAAATACAAATTAAAAACGGACGAAATTTGCCGGCGTATCCACAAAACTTCAGAAACATTCTGCTCCGCTTCGAGTTGTAAGTTTGCTATAACTTTTGTTTTATAAACAAAAAGAGTGATAAACAAAAACATACCTTTTTCGTTCCAAGATGGTGGCGTTTGTTTACATTTTGTAGGATACGACGCAGTTTTGATTCCCAGCCCTGAAGATCGACAGAAATATATTTTGTCTTGACCAGAACAGTCACTGGTCACATCTCAAAATATACACATGACCAGTTTGTTTATTTATTTATTTATTTGTTTATCTATTTGTTTGTTTATTTATTCTTTTATTTATTTATTAATTTATTTATTTATTTATTTTTTTTATATTCATTCATTCATTCATTCATTCATTTATTCATTTATTTTCAACCATGCCAAAGATTGTTTACCCCATATTAGTATTCTAGCTAACCTTGCTGATTAATGTAGTCGGAATTTTATCTGAGATCATCTGTTTATGCGCACGACACTACTTAATTTGCTAGGGCGTGCAAAATATTACATATGGCATTGAATTATATCACGGCTTGAAATAAAGTCTGAATTATATTATTGATATCTCTCGGTTGTAATATAAGCATTATTTATATCAATATGTTAAACATTTAAAAGGCTGGAGAATGTAGTGGACGTGCAGTGAGTAAATTAAATTTAATATTAACTATTTTATCGGAAATTTGGATTTGTGCTCGTTAGTTACATTAAACCTACCAATTTTGAAACTTTTTTCTTCTATTCACAAATATTATACATAGTTATGTAATATATACAATGAGATAGTTTAAAGTGACATTATGCCCATCCAAGTGTAAAAATGAGTGAACAGGTGAAAGTCAAAATAAGTTTCCATTTTGCCATAATTGCTTTAATATAAAAAAATATTTTATATTAACAATAGACAAATATGGATCCGCACAATCTTTTCGAAAATATCGATTAGAATTTGCAGCATGTAACTACCAGTTCATAAAAAGAGTGGGACAGTCTTTTTATATTTCAGGCAGATTTCAATTTTATCCTTAACATTTCCCAATATGACCTGTTGGTCAATCACCATTAGTCAATATTTTGAAATATGTAGTCAGTTCAGCTCAACTTGACTATGAAAATATGAGCAGAATGTCAAACTCAATTTGTGATATTCGTATGTAATAAAATAGCAATATACAAATACACACAAAAACAAAGTAAAATAAAAACTTGAAATTATCTAGAAGTTAGTATTGATATGTATTTATAGTATTGATACATATTTCAAATTGTGTTTTAAACAGTTTGAATATTTCAAATCCTTTTGACCAATTATTACTACAAAAGTAACTTTTATAAATACTTAATCCTACAATAGTGAGTATAACATTTATATAAAAGTTTTCTTCTTGAGATATTTTATAACCGAAAATAAGGATGTCTAGTTTACGTATATATCTTTGAATCTCTAGTAAAATTTATAAATTTCCACCCAAAATACATTTAGTACCATACAATCTATAAAAGGTGTTGATGATCTTCTATTTTATATATCTAATAAATCTAACCAATCGACATCTTCATTTGTACCTCGTGACCGTCCAATAAATTCCCGTATTGGATCCAAAATATATATAGTTTTCATATTAGCCGGTTGGGTACATGTGCACTAAATGATGCTGGTCTGGTTTCAGATTTCAATCTCTAACAAATTTAAGACCGGGAACCATGCTTGCATAAAGACGTTTGTTATTATTGTTTACAACAGCTGGTAAAGTGTCTTGCTGACCAAAAGGCAAAATGTTAACAGACGAAGAAATAAAATAAAATAAAAATATTAGATATACATTGTACAAAAAATAATTATAACATTTATTACAGAATGGAGACGATACCATTTACCATTTATAGCGCGTTTCTTTGCTTGGAAACACCATGTTAATTACTCAAATTTAAATTGTCCAGATCAGTTTTTTCTCATATCTATTTGATCAATTCAAATGTGCAGCGGGTGTAATTAAAACTTTGTGTTCTAATATTTCATATATAGTTTCTGAATCCATTAATTCATAAAGTCTAGTTTATCTTAAAACGTTTTTTTCTCTGTTTTTATTTTCTTTTGCGAAGAGTGAAACATTTACTTAGTTTGTTTCCAGGCTAGCTGTAAAGCTTTAAAGAACAAGTTTAATTCTACGACAGAGTTGCGTTTATGTACTAGCTTATAAAAAATAATATTTTAATCTATTTCACATTGATAAATCATTTAAGAATATATACTCGATTTATCCATGTTTTCAAAAACAAACATTTGTAATTTATTTTTATGAATCTATTGTCCAAAATGATTCGTTTTCTTATTTGTTCAAATGTCAAATTTGTTTTGTTTTTAAATTGAAAGTGTATGTTTACCCCAGACTGTTAAGTGGTTAATGACAGCGTTCACTAGCATTTAGTGGGGTTTTTTTTGTCTTTGTTTTACTTTTGATGTACATTATAATTTCCAAAAATTGACCCATTGACCATTCACTTGAACCATCTTTTACTTATGTTGCTTTTCACAATTATAGAACTATGGTGTTTTGTGCTGAAGTAGAATAGTATTTTGTTTACATTTTTCTACGACAAATAATTTTACCTTACAGGTACAAGCAACTAAGTACTGTAATACCTTTAATCATTAATCCATTTAATTTCATGTTTACCCATTCTTAAGAAGTAAAGTTTATTCTTTTCTGAGGTATTATGTGCAGATAAAGCAACACATAAATGTTCGATTAAATTCTTTATTTTTGACAATAAAATATGAAAATCAAATAATTAAACAAGACTATAATAAAGTATATCTTCAGTTGCTTGATGGGATAGGTCAATATCAAAACATTCTCACAATTATAAAAACATGCTTATATATATCGCTGATGAATAAATAAATTGTTAAAATTATAAGGGTCATTTTGTATTTACATTGCAGAGACATGGCTCAAATGACAATCATGACACCAATGTGTGATACACACGAAGATGTTGTCGCTGAAATACTTTGTTTGAACCACAGACGGCTTATGTGTGTCACTTGTGGTTTAAAAGAAGCAAAACTTTCAGAATGTGAAGTTCTTGATATACGTCATTTAGGCAAACAGGATTCGCTTTTACTAAGAAGTTTGTTGCTAAAGCAAAGTGTTTCAAAGAAGGAACGTCAAATTGATGAACACGCGGAAAAGGCTGCGGAGATGAAAAAAGTCTTAGAACAAAATGTACTTGACACGTATAACAAACTTATTGATCGAATACAAGAGTTGAAATCGAACAGTTTGGCGTTACTTGATAAACAAGCGAATGTTATCCTGCAAACAAACAAAGGTAAAAAGCAACCTCTTCTAACTTTTCAAAAGGAAATCGATATATACATTAAAAAAATATCTATTGAATCGTTGAACGATCCCAATGATCTTGAACGTGAATTAAATGAGATTGAAAAGAAAATTCTGGTAACCCTTAATATTAAAGAGACTTTGCTAGAAAGTTCATGCAATCCAAATGCTGAATTAGAAAATTCAATTATGCAGTCAGACAAATTTCTGAGCTACGTGTCATTATTGGATCAAGAGCATTATGATGTAATCCCTGATACTCCACAGAAAGAACCTATATATTCGGATATCCGGACGGCAAAGTAGCACAAATCTCTGCTGATTCACGACAAGATTTTCCTGCACAGACAGAAAGCAGAAAGACCACAACATCAGACCAGAAGGCGCAAAGCAGCAAAGGACACTTTGGTATTCCCAAATTTTTACAAAAAGCAAAGAAAACTAAATCAACCGCATCTGAAAAAGATGTGAAATCGAAAAATGCTGAAATTGCAGACGAACCTCAAAATGTATATGAGTTATATGAATATAGCGCAGATAAATCTGGATTAAACGCTTACAAAACAGGTGTTAGGCCGAAAAGTACAGACCCAAAAAGTTTCATAAATAAAACCGTTCAAGTATCAGAATTAAAAAAAGAGCATTTTTCCTCCGCATTAAAGTTTTCTAAGCTACTATACTTAGGCGAGGGCTGCATTGGACTGATGTCAGAAATCAACAATTCAGTAACTGTAGTCGGTTTAGACGGCCATTATTTTGACAAGACAACTTTAAAAGGAGGAAAGATATCAATGTGTGGTTTGGACAAAGGAGGAATAGCTACCGTGAAGGACAATGGTCTTCAAATTGACAAATACAAAGTGAGTAACAATAAGATGACCTTAGCTGGTAGCATCGTCGCAGATGAACAGTTCTGCAATATAACTGGATTTGACTTTGATGATTGCTCGTCAAACTTTGCTGTAAGTACACCCGAAAAGGTGATTATTCTCGACAAAAGCGGAAAAACAGTAAAAGCGAAAACATACAACGCAGCAAATGGTCAAAACAAGAATGAGTTAGTTACGATATTTAATTTCAAAAAAGACTGTCTATACATTTTAAACACATGCGACAATTCTTTAAAAATGTTTTCATTTAGAAAGAAATGTGTAAAATGGAAAAGAAAGCTTGAGAACACTGGTGTGGCAAAAAACATGTGTCTTTACAATGACAAATTATGTATAACTTGTGGAAGCGATATTGCTATAATCTCAGCAACTTCAGGTGACCAAATTGGCAAACCTGAAACAAACTGTCTATTGGAGGATTGCCTTGGCTTATGTGTCATTGATAATGTGCTTGTATTTTCTTCAGGCTCCGACAATTTCGAAACATCAACAAAGCTAGCATATACATGCATGTGATTTGTAATGGTAACGTTACAGGTCAATTGAAAGTACTAAAAGCAAACAAACAGTAATGGTTTCATCTTAATAACGTTCCAACAATATTCGTCACCCAAGTATTTGATCAAAGGCAAACAAAGGATCTATTTTTGGGGGACTGTATTCGAGCGTTTTTGTTATTTTTATTTTATATTCTGATTACTTTTAGCTTTTAGATATCAACAAGGTTTCATATATATATATATATATGTGGTATGTGCGTATGTCAAAATGCTAATTTGATATGTAAGTACTTACTGAATGAATGGAAATAAATGTTTTTTGACATTGAATAAATGGTTAAATGTACGTTTACATTCATTTCTAATAAATATATTGGTGTGTTTTGCTTGCTTAACATTTTTAAAAATCTAGTAGAGATTGACAGTACCTTTTTTAGTGAAGCCTTAATAAGAGTCACATTCATGTATTTGTGTTATAAACGCAGATTTCATATTAAAATGTCTGCGGTATAAATGAAGGTTAATACAAAATAATTGGAGCGCAACGGAAAAACAAATGTTTTTCAAGTTTAAAACATAAAGGTTGGCATCAAATTTCAAGTACATGTATTGCCCATGACATATTTTGGAATATGTGAATGTCAAGTTTTGCGGACATTTCACATCCTACAAATCTGCAACGTGATTGTGTTGCTAGAGAATCTTGAAGTATTTCTCACAAGAAAATGAATGGGTTTTTGCTGTGTTGTTTTAAAGACATAAGATTTTGATCGATGTAAAATATTTGATTGTGTTTAACATTTCAGTGTGTATTTGATTATTATTTCGAATCTTTTATTCACATTCCTGTTTTTAAGACCTTTGTTTTTTGATTACCTGCTTTGTCTTGAATCTTGAATGCAATGACATTGAAAAACGTATTTAATATCCTTTGCCTACCTGTAATTCACCGATTTATGTGTTTATCATGTCATTACATTGATTTTTGTTACCATTACCTGATAAATGTAGATTAAAATGAAATTAATAGAACGGATGTTTTTACTTCCTGCTAGTTTAAAAATATTAAAATGATAAACCTTGATTTTCTACAAATATTTTATTTTTCAAGAAAACGGAAGTATATTGTTACGATCTCCTTAGCCTGCGTTGTAAAAATAAATACATTGATACATATGTTTAATTTCAGAGTTAATTTAGTTTCAAAAAATTTCTCTCAATACTAATACAAGGTGCACATAAGTTAAGATATTTTGTTCTATCATGATGAATAACCCTTGTTCAGAGAATTTTAATATTCAATCATAACTGTTTCAATAACGAAATGAAAACTTGTCTATGTGGTACATTTTATCAAAACCAAAATAATAAGAGAGATTATCACCTCGAAAACGTTGAAAAAAAAATTAAAATGAATATTGTTCATTTCAAATGTTTTACAGGTTTAAAATAAAGCAAATAAGAGGTTAACGTTTAACAAATGTATTCTGATGATAAATGAACGAATATTGTAGTAAGGATATAATATCTAAAGATAACGGATACTAGTAACACTAAGCTGTATCCCTGCTTTTATCACTTATAGTTACTCTTCAAAAGTAAACAGAAGAAAAAAAAGAAATTAGTACACATCATATTTAAATTATGCAAAACAAAAATTTTACTTTCCATTCTTATCGACTGACAGTAGGTGCGTTAATCTTATTTTCTTATATTTGCAATACATACGAGTCTTTAAAAACTCATAAAAAAGAAATAAGAAGAAAGAATGTAATTATCATTCAAATTTGTTCTATGTAATACATCTGTTATTTGGTTAACAATGTAAAGCCAGCATTATGAGCATGGCTATAAATGATCGAGCTCATTTAAATGACATATGAGCAATAAAAGCTGTTTTTTTTAACATTCTGTTTCGTCTCTTTATTATGAAATAAGTCGCGCAGTTGTACAAATATTTTTCCGTAGTCAAAGATGTAGGCTGTTTTTTTTATATTCAGTATATAAATCAATGATACAATTGATATACAAACTTTACAACAAACAGGGAATGTCGAACGACACACATGTCTTGATTCATAGTATTG